GAAGACCTGCTGTAAGGCATTCGTTATCTTCTTCTCGTTTCTTTTATTTTCCTCAAGCTGTTGGCCGCTGTCCGTCGTCCATACGTTGGTTGAGATAATTTGAGTAAATTTGCTCTAATTCAATCGAAATTGGTGCGAAGAGGTGCAGTTGTTATACGTACCTCCGCGTGGCTCGATCGTGGAACACACGATGGTGTTGCAGAGATATATTGAGCGACGGCATCAGCGGCAGCCACAGCGACGTTGACCACTCCCAGCCCGAGCAGTCTACGTGCGCGCGGTTCTTTCTATTTTTTTTCGACCGTTTGTCAACTCAAATTGCTCTAGGCATTCATTCTGGCAATTTGATGCTCCAGAATAATGAGCCCTGCCTCTCTCGATTCCTCTCGGGTTCCGCCGCGCTCTTTCCACTTCTGATATTTTGGTTCCCCTCTTGACACATTTCGATTCAGTCTGATTGATTGATTCATTGCTGTGAGCCTGAGCATCGAAGTTCGTCCACGAGCTGGCTTCGTCGGCCGCAGCAGCCAGCGAGTCTACCTGATCTTTCAAATGACAGGGGTTCGGAACACTGTCTTCTCTCGGGCGTGAGAAGCACTACAAACGACTCATCTTGATCTTGTGATGAATTCATTGGTGAAACATTCTTCGAAATAGACGTCCACTCCCTCGATCGGCGCTGATTGTGTGAATGACATATTTCGAGCTCCTCGAGCCCTTGCCCTGAGAGCTCTGCTGTACATCCCCGACGATGCACTCTCTTCCTGTCAGACTCCCGATTCCGCCGTCCACTAGAACTCAATCAAATATCGCCGTGACAATTCGCTCGTTCACTGGGATTCCCGACGTTCCCCTCGCTTGGGAAGTGAACCAAGGAAGATGAGAGTCGCTCGACGGGACCAGTCAGATCATAGAAGGCAAAGATCATAAAAATTATGTCATTTCGTGGAGCTCATTAGCGGTTAATGCCGCGCGGCTTCAAGGATCTCTTTGCAGAGACCTCGTGCGGCATTAGGCACAAGAATAGGATTTCTAATTGGCTAGCTGATGATCTTCGTTGACGAGAGGCTCTCCTGGATCTTCCTTCGAAGTTCTCGCGACACGCAAGTTTGTTTCCAGAATACTTGTGCGTATCATCAACTTACCCCCTCACCATTCAGAGAAGATTTTGCAGAATCATTCATATTCGATACCATTAGTCCTGGGCGAAGCTTGAACCTGATGGTTTCTAGGCAGCGAGCCACCGAGAGATCGCTGCGGTCAGTCGCGCATCTTCGCTTGATACGCAGCCTCTCTGCATTATCTCCCGGATCTAGAGGTAATAATTGCTTCCAACGTTATACGCATACTAGATACATTATTCATAGCAGTGCGCGGTAACAAAACCCTAAAGCGACACGAGAAGTTTCTGATAACAAGGCTTGTCAGGCTTCTCGACCGACTCAGTGGCTACTGGCAAAGTGCTAAAAAGGTCATCTATGAAGTTATCAGCGTCCGAATCAGCGGGGTTGGGATGTTGTTAAACCGAGAGAGAGAGGAACAAGCGGCTCGTCGTCGACGACGACACGCAGTCTTGTGTTCAAACATTCCTCTTCTAAATGCTCCTCTCTTCCCCTCATACTAGATCCAATCCGATTGGATCAACCGGGTTCCGATCGGAGCGCATGGATCGGATTGAC